CCTTCTGTCGGCGGTCTCCTTCGGCAGCAGTGTCGTGTGATCGGCAGCGTGTCCACAACAGAGTCCCCATTCTGCTAGGGCCTCGCTATTTAAGGGGCAGTCGTCCTTGCTCCTCATTGGTTGTCCATTGTTATCGTGCGCACGCTTGCTTTCGCACGTCTGGCATCTGTTCTCGCGTGACCTCACTGTAGGCAGCAGTCCGGCTGCATGGCCGTCTGACTCCGCAAGCTTTCTTTGTCCTAGCCTGTATGCGCCGGACGCCCTCACGTGACCTCGCACGGTCTGACGTCTGGGTGACGAGATCGGCTCCTGTAACACAATGTGTATAATATATTATACATTGTCTTCTTCACACAGTTGCTCGCACGTAGCTGTGACTACAGATTTTATGCATTTTTTACCACAACGCCAGGTTTGTTATTACCAGGCCCCGGGCATAAATGCACGATTATTTATTATTTACAGAAACGCTGGAAATATGTCCGTTGTCAAGTTAATTTAGCGTTTAGGAGGCAAGGTCTGGCTACGCCAGGACGCCTTTGATCTGGTTATCACTGGCAGTTTAATGCATACATCCCTCAAAATCAGGTCGTTTCGTCTGTGCATAGTAACCCGTGCATTTTTTGGTACAGGCACGCAGAAACTACTGAGAACTTTAGGAAGATTTGGAGGTTTCGCCATTAAAACACATGTCACAGCTTTCACCATATGTGATATTTGCCATCGGTGCGCATCCCAAAGAACGCTTGCCATGTCCTGAGGTAGCCCACCTTGGTCCACGTATGGGATGTATAAACCCCAAGTTTTAAAATGTATAGTCAGGACTGCTTTGGTCTTTTATGCCATAGCAGCAAAGAGTAACCTTCTTTGTGTTAACGATAACATTTACATAAAGATCTATCCAAATTTGTTTTATTGACGTTTCTATTGTCAGCTTCCTTTCATTTATTTAGATTCGCTTTTGTTCACTCAGTTTTTTAAATATTGTTCACAATCTGGCCTAGAAGAATATATTTGGCGGAAATTTACTT